AAGGACAAAGCCGATGGCCTGCACAGGGCGATAGCCGAGCTCCTCGGAGATGAGGCTGATGTCCGCAATAAAAGGCCACAAAAGGATCTCGAGATGGGGGATCTTGATGAGCTGACGACGAAGGAGGAAGTGCTCGACGCCCTAAAACTTACAGCTGGGGCGGATTACCAAATCCTTCCGAACGCAATTAGGCCTTTGCACTTTCAGAATGTTACAATGACTGAAAAGGTTGGCTCTGTGGCAGCAAAGCTGGGAGGAATCCATTTATACAGCTGTTACGCTCCACCAAGCCTCACTTTTGATGAGTTCACGGACTTCCAGCGCAGACTGACTAAACACGTGGAACAGCACTCTCCCGTGGTAATCGCCGGAGACTTTAACGCTTGGACAGTCGATTGGGGCAGCAAAGAGACAAAAGCAAGGGGGCAAGTTCTATTGGAGGCCATGTCCTTGCTTGATATTACTAAACAATGGTCCTGATAAACAATGGTGATGAACCTACGTTTGCAAAAGGAGAGAAGAGCTCAATTGTAGACCTCACCTTTGTGAGTAATAGCCTCGCAAGAGGAAACTGCTTCTGGGAGGTGATGGCCATCTAGACTGCTAGTGACCATCGAGAAATTTTTTGGAATTATCGACTGGTCGTAGGGTCACACCAACACCTAAGAAGACCAACGAAATTGACTGGAAAGTGAGCACCTTCGATCCTAGCTCATTCGTAGTGGCGCTAAATGATCACCCGATCAGTGGCAGTAGTGCTGCAGAAAAAGCCGAACATCTCATGAGAAGAGTTGCCAAGGCCCGTGATGCCTCCATACTTCATAAACGCAGTGGAAATCGTCTGACATCGGTGTACTGGTGGAATGATGAAATCGCTGCGCTCCGAGAGGAGTGCATCAAGGCGAGAAGGTCGTCAGAGCATGGTCGGAAAAAACCAAACTCCAAAGAACTAGAGGCGAAGTATAAGAGTGCACGTTGAGAACTCAACAAAGCCATCAGGAGCAGCAAGAAGCAAAGCTGGGATGGACTCCTCGACGAAGTCGAGGGTGATCCGTAGGGCAAGCCGTACAAATTTATCATGACGCGGCTGAAAAGCCAACCTATGCATGACAAAGCCGACATGCCCGGAACTGCTGGAGAAGATCGAAGCGATGCTATTCCCCCAATAACTGGAAATTTGCCACCCCACAGAGCGATGCGAGACAGCAGCAATCCCACTAATTATGGGGAAAGAACTGAGGGAAGCGTGCGGTAGAGTGGGGAACACCAAGGCTCCTGGCCTTGCTGGAATCCCTAACATCACGCTGAAAACAGCGATCATTGCAGCTCCAGGGCTGTTCCTGGAAGTATATAATGCATGCCTGGAAGAGGGTAGCTTTCCCTTAAAGTGGAAGCAAAAGAGATTAGTTCTCCTCTCCAAAGGGAGGAAGCCACCGGACGAACTATCATCCTATCGTCCACTCTGCATGCTGGATACAGCTGGGAAGATGCGTGAGCGTATCATCCACAGGAGGATAGAGGGAGTAATTAGACCGCTGCTAGCCGACAACCAATACAGTTTCCGGAAAGGTCGGTCAACACTCGATGCTATTGACCTCGTCGTCAGCAGCGCCAAGGAGGCGATCTCGATGACCAGGTGGAGAGAACGAACGAAGAAGTACTGTTTAGTGGCAACGCTGGACATCAAGAACGCCTTCGATTCAGCCAAATGGGACTGTATCATGGTGGCTATCGAAAAGATGAACGTACCGGGATACCTGCAAAGAATGGCAGCTAGCTACTTCACCGAAAGAATTCTCAAGTACGACACAGAAAGGGGCCCCAAACAGTATTAAGTCACTGGAGGGGTGCCTCAGGGCTCAGTGCTGGGTCCTCTTTTATGGAACATCATATATGATGGACTGCGGTAGGTAACATTGCCAACTGAGGCGAGACTTGTGGCATTTACGGATGACCTGGCCGTGGTGATTGTCGTGAAGCACTTGGAGGAAATCAACTCCATATTCGAAACGACTTTTGGCAGGATACGTCGGTGGATGGACTTAGTTAGCTGGCGGAGTATACAAATGAAGCGGTACTCATTACGAGTAGGAAAAAAATGGAGACGATCACGTTGCGAGTCGATAACTATGAACTCACATCTCAACCGTTTATCCAGTATCTGGGAGTGATGATCGACACCCGACTTAGCTTCAAGCAGCAAGCTGCCCACGTAAGTGCTAAGGCGTCGGGAGTTAGGACCATCCTATTCCGACTCATGCCGAATATGGGAGATCCAAAACAGAAAAGGAGAGCGCTACGATTATCAGTGACCACGTTGATGATCACTTAGGCTATTGCCATCTGGGGGATGCACTAAAGCTGCAAGAATCATGCCGGAAAGTAGCTTGAGTCCATAGACTGAGCGTCCTGCGGGTCGCTAGCGCGTACCACACAGTGTCCGAGGATGCAGTTTGTGTTATCGCTGGGATGCTGCCCATTGAAGTTCTATCTAAAGAGCGAAGGTGTCTTTACCGGCGGAAAGAACAACTCGCATTGAGCCCAGAAGATCTGAAGATAGAGGAGAGAGGCAACTGCATACGCCAATGGCAGCTGCTATGAGATGCATCGACAAAGGGAAGATGGACCCATCGTTTATTCGGCTGGTGGACGTCTGGTTGAAACGGAACCACGGAGAAGTAAACTATTACCCGACGCCGATGCTTTCAGGACATGGGTGCTTCCAGGAGTATCTTCATAAATATAAACATCAGGATTTCCCGAAGTGTCCTGCCTGCACAGGAGTGAACGAAGACGCTAAACATGTGCTTTTCACTTGATCCCGATTCAGCAGAATGCGTGATACCTAAAAGTCCGCAATTGGAAGAACGCTCCCGCCTGAGACTTTGTTGGAAGCTATCCTCTCATCGAAGGCAGCCTGGGACGCATCGAGCAGCTTCGCAACAGAAGCCTTGAAGGAGCTCAGACGTGAGGAACGCAGGCATAAAGCTGGAAAATAGACAGTGAATCTATTGAAACTCCCTGCTCACACCCAACACCTTAGTGAGACAGGGCGACGTACATTGGCTGGAAACAAAGTGGAAGAGCATAAAGCTAAAAACTCCCTCGCGAAGTAATACTTAACGGTGGTGCCGCGGGGGAACCAAAGGTCTGAAGAATTTCGAGGTGAGGTTTGTAGTCGGGGCAGGTTCGACACAGAGTGGACGAAAGTCCATTATCGTGCGAACGGATTTTTTTCTAAATCCTCGAGAAAAAAAAATAAAAAAACACACGCGCAAACACACGCGCACATACATACACGCGCGCACGCGCACATGCACACACACACACTCACACAGACATTTCGATATCATACAATTCTGACTGGATTTCAACAAAAATAGTCTCTGCACCTGTTGAGTTATTTACATAAAAATTACAGAAAGTTTTCAAAAAAATTTCCTAAACAGGAAAAAATTAATCGGCATTAATTAATTAATGTCGAGAAAAAGTCAAGTGGGCGGAAAATAGTTGGTTTAATGCATGATGGATCACACCCATTTCTATCTACACGCCATGAAACCGAGCAAAGCGACTGGTTAACAACCTAGTCGAATCGGTATTTTCATTTTTATGATTATAAATATATAAAATTAGAAAACCTTCAGCATATCAATATTGACGTACATGAAAGGATAGAATCAATAATTAATGCTATCAGTCTATAGGTAGGTTTTATTTTTCACAGCCTACAATACTCGAGCGTTTGCTTCCTGCAGTTTGCACACTCGCATAAACCACTCCGTGTCAAATAATACCAAAATAAAACAATAATACAACTAAAACAACACAACATGAAGAGTCGTTGGAATATCGAAAGTGTTTAAATAATCGTAATGAAATTTCCCTGCGTGTGTTACGTCGACATTCGACATCTATGCGTGTGATACGCCGATAAGGGCGCTGCTACAATTAATGCAACGCAAGACAAAAATAAACCAAAAAATATTTGAACGATTGTTTCACACATTGCGTAAGTTTCGCGATGCGTCCATTGTGGAATCACCCTATTCGAAATATATCTACGAATGACACACCGACACTCAAAATGTGTGTATGACACGTCGATGTTTCAAGAATGCCTGCGTGTCCTACGTTCAATTACCATATTTAAAACTCCAAAATTTGATTAAATTTCTGCGTGAAATACTCCGAAAATTTATAATAACTCTGTGTGTCATACTCGGAAAATCTATAGAAGTAGAGCAAATGCGCGCTTCGCGCGCGTTGCTTTCGCTGGATGAGACCGATAATGATAGTTGAATCAGTTCTTTGATTTCAATTTCTTGACTTGAATTTTTGACCTCATCGATCCATTGACTTCACTTTATTGACAACTTTACTAAACCCTTCGGGATAATGTATTGATTTTTCCATTGATTGGACAGATAGATTTGCAAGATAGAAAACACATGATGTTTTAGAAAAATCCAGCCAAAGTTAAATTTTCTTTTTTTTTCTAGTGAAAAAACCATTTTTGCTCAAAAGTACCATAACATAATTGAAAATTATCAGAATCAAAGGATTCAACTATGTCAATTTGAAGCATATTTAATGGACTTCCGAATGAGTATAAAATATATAGTGTTCATGGAAGAGGAAGAATGGAATTAGTATAAAAATTATCGTATTGTTTTACAGGGGAATTTCTGTGTACGACACTTGGAAACTTCATAAAATCTCTGCGTATGACACTCGTAACATTTATAAAATCTCTACATATGACGCTCGGATACTTTATAAAATGTGTGCGTGTGACCCTTGGAAAATTCGGAAAGTGTCGGCGTGTGACAGTCGGTAAATTCATAAGGTAAGCTGCTGCGGTCATGGTCTATGTGTCACATGGGTAAACGCCGCAAATATCCTGCGCGTATAGTGCGAGCAGATATGGCCTGAAAATTATGATGTTTCAAACAATTTTCTGATTATTATTGCTTTTTGAAAGAGCTTGTTCATATTACCAGCACAGTCTTGGGCGACGTAGACACTCAAATTCTCCAGTTCCTCATGTCTAGTGGCAGCTACTTTGAAAGCTTGACTTAGAAGGTGAGCTACCGAGGCTGGACCGTACCAGTCTCCAGCTCTTTTTCCTGTCGAGGCCCCCAATGATACAAGGGAGTGTATTGAAAAAGGAGACTGAGCTGCTGGCTGATCACCAAACCATTTTATGATCATTCTGTGCTTACTCTCTTCTGCAAATTGTTGGTGAGTTTGGATTGGTTGATCTGGCCTCCACCTCCAAGCTAATGAACCGAAATAGAATGTAATTTATAATTGCAGATTACAGTATTTGGGATCACGTGCCATGCGATTTTCCCTGAAGTTTTCTCGGATATCAACGATCGATATAAGTTTTATAAGTGTCCAAACGTCACAAGGTTCAAAATCACAAGGGTCATCTTGTGGAAATACAGTCGAGCACTAAAGTTCGTAAACAGAATACATACAGAATACAAGACGAGGAATGATAGTGTAAATACTCTTCTTTTCATTATGTAAAATATTCCATAACGCTTAATAAACACTGTGATTGTATTGGACTTGAAACGGAGCAGGTAGTCTGACTTGATGGGGCCAGGTAGTCTGATAATTGATTAACACTGGTTTATTGGAATACTCTAGAACTCTTCATTCAACCTCAGAGATAAAGACGATGCGATCGTTAGTATGATCGATCACCAAGTGAAGTGATGCGGGACAGGCTCGCATCTTTAATTTAGCTATTAACCCTCTGACTTGCCATCCTAGCCCCACTACCTATGGGGCCCGAACGTTCGACGTGGAAGGGGATGAGTAGCATGCGCGCGAACAGTGTCGTAGCACAAAGCACACGTTTGAATACGTGAGTTCCAAATATAAAAATTTGTAAAAGGAATTGATTGGTAGAGAGGATGAAGCAAATTTAAGGAGGAATAGGAGCAATTTGAAATAAGACATCTCATTGCTGTCAATCTCTAAATCATGAACAGGACCTAGGACCTCGATATTCTACGAATGGTTGCACTGGATAATTCTCAATATTTGAAGAACATTTTTGCTCTAGTTTTTCATCATTTTTTTTTTCTTGAAAATCATCTGGATTAATTCCACAATTTGAAGGTATCTTTCTTCATTTCACGTATTTACCAGAACTTCTACATAAACTTTTCGATAAACTTTCATTCTTTTTTCTTTGTTCAGGCACTGACTCTTTATCACACATTTTTATCTTTTTTCATCTCTCATTACTTGTTGTCTATCTCTCGAAACTTCTACTACGTATTACCCGAGAATATGCAGAGGGTCTCAATAACTTTGCAATACTCACAACGGTCCTGACGCGAAAGGAGTGAGGAAATAGTCATATTGTAGCACCTCGCTACATCCTAACTGAGGAGACAGTCTGACGTCATCCTCAGGCATTTAGTACTTCGTTGCTTTCCTCTCACGGATACACCAACACAATAATAGAGGATGACATTTCGCGCCTCTACCGAATTATTCTATCACGGCGTCCTATCGCACAGGAGCCGTGGACAGTTGATCGGCATCCGTTGTATCGAGCGCAACTGAGCATCAAATCAATATTCATTGTACTTGTTGAGACTGACGCTTCGGCGAATAAATATATTATTAAATTGTTTATTCGTTTAGTAGTGATTTGTTACTCCCGACCATCGCAAATCCTACAATATGACCATTTCTCACTAACACATTGTAATGTCCAAAATTTGTATGCAAATATAAAATAAGGTAAAATAATTTTGAAATGAATGTAATTAATTTTAATTTTATTTGGAGGACATTTCATCATTTGAACTCGATTAAAAATTTCAAAGACATTGGAATCGAGTCCAAAAGTGATGAAATGCCCCACTCAGCATGCCTCCATTATATAATTTCAAGATTCGCACGCGGAGGAATGATTGAAAACCGATGAATCAAAACCCCAAAACCCAAATGAACTACTTCCCCAATAATAATCAAAAGAGTGGGAAAAGTCATACGACATTTTCCACCAATTAAAAATGGACTCGTTGGAGCCCATGTGACAAGTGACCCCAAAATTCATATAAAAATGTCAGAAAAATCCAAATTAGCCAGTCTTAAAGCAGCGACGGAACGGTAACAATTCTGGTGGAATTAGTTCACTTAATTGGTCCGGTTTTTCAATCCTTCCTTCGATAAAATTTCGCAGTGTCAAAATACGTGGGATAGTACTGAATTAATAGTAGGTTACGAACTATTGAAATTATCCGGGAATAAAATTTCTTTAATCGAGAGTGGTGACTATTCTTACAAATAAGGAATTCATTCATTATGACGCGTTGTGGACAGTCTCAAACAAACTCTTAAACTCCTCACTGAGAGAAAAAATTATTCCTGCCAAGGATTGATATTCACGTCAGAAGATAATATTTTTTCAGAACGAATTTTTCCAGGACAGTCATTTTCAGAGAGTCCAAGTCTATTCTAAAAAATTACAGTGATATTGAACAATCTGATTATTATGCTACATATGACCTTGACAAAATGTTCTCCGATATCTTCCGGATTTTACAAATTGGTGATTTTCTCAGGTAAAGAAAATTGGAATAATTCCAAATGTTGATAATTATTATTGGAGTTTCTTCGAAGTCATATGCAGAAGAATATTCTTATAGATCACCATAATTCTCACGCTTGGAACTAATTTCGGAGCACCTGGAAATGACTGGCCTGGAGAAATACGTTCCAAATGAAACTCTGCGCCGAGAAACCATTGAGTTTTCCATAGCGCCGCGACTTTCGTCGCAGTTTTTATTTTTTCATTACAGAGAATAAGGAATGAAACGGGGGTTGAAGGATGGGGAATTTAATTCTCCATCGAACAGCATTAGTTTCATTCCTTAATGTTAATTAGGAGCAGAGATACGATTTTTTAATTAGCCGGCGAGTTGTCGTGAGTCACTGCGCTGAGAAACCATTAGGTTTTTCATAGCGCCGCCACTTTTGTCGCAGTTTTCATTTTTTCATTACAGAGATTAAGGAATGAAACGGGGGTTGAACGATGGGAAATCTAAACTTCCATCGAACAGCATTGGTTTCATTCCTTAATATTAATTAGGAGAGAAGACACGATTTTTTAATTAGCGGGCGAATTAATGGAGAAGCACTCTGCGCCGAGAAACCATTGAGTTTTTCATAGCGCCGTGAATTTCGTCGCAGTTTTTATTTTTTTTTTACAGAGATTAAGGAATGAAAGGGGGGTTGAAGGATGGGAAATTTAATTCTCCATCGAACAGCATTGGTTTCATTCCTTAATGTTAATTAGGAGCAGAGATACGATTTTTTAATTAGCCGGCGAGTTGTCGTGAGTCACTGCGCTGAGAAACCATTAGGTTTTTCATAGCGCCGCCACTTTTGTCGCAGTTTTCATTTTTTCATTACAGAGATTAAGGAATGAAACGGGGGTTGAACGATGGGAAATCTAAACTTCCATCGAACAGCATTGGTTTCATTCCTTAATATTAATTAGGAGAGAAGACACGATTTTTTAATTAGCGGGCGAATTAATGGAGAAGCACTCTGCGCCGAGAAACCATTGAGTTTTTCATAGCGCCGTGACTTTCGTTGCAGTTTTTATTTTTTCAGTACAGAGATTAAGGAATGAAACGGGGGTTGAAGGATGGGGAATTTAATTCTCCATCGAACAGCATTGGTTTCATTCCTTAATGTTAATTAGGAGCGCTTTCTTTGCGGCCACTAGCAAATGTTGAACCGTAAATGATTGATACTGATAAAATATCCCATTATCAATCATTGATAGTTATTGATATGAAAACTACGAACGATTTTCCTTCGATTCAAAAAAAAAACTTGAAAAAATATTCATTTTTTATGTTTGTCGACTAAACACATGGGCGAAATTTGATTAATTTTTTATAATTCAATAAATTATTATCAAACGTTATTAAATGCACTTCAATTATCGGCAAACGATTAGCAATCGATTCAATAAGTGCATTAATTGAAAAATTAATATTGGTCGGCTAAGCCCATGTTAATGCCAACCAGCCAGCCCGCCACCTCCCCAGCAACCGCCTCTACCCTCAGGAGAGCCTGCTGCGAAAGCCTGAAGCACCAGCTATCCTCCCCGCTCTTAAGCGGTGGTACTCCACTACTCGAGTCACAGACCGGGTCCACTAGATCTTATATTCATTTTTTTGTTGTTTGTTTTTCACGATAAGGCTACTAACGGCCGACCCCATTTTTGTTATTTAGTTTCTCGAACGAGAACCAAAGAAGTGGACGTAGCGTTTTTTCTTTCGTGATTGATCTCTCTGACAGCTGAAAGCCGAAAAGTTTCTGTTTATTATTAGTATCATTTTGTACTTTCCTTTTTTTTATCGGCGAGAAAAGCCATGTTTTTTTTTCTTCTTCTCTTTTGTTCATATGATAATACTCACGATAATTTTCGTACTTCTTTATTTTTCTATGATCGTACTTTTTTATTTTTCTATGGTCAGGTACGGCGGAATGCGAGGGAGAGTAGAGTGTTGCTCACAATATACGTAGAGATACATTTTTTTTTTACTTTGAGTCCACTATCCCACTCATCATGTTAGGAGTGTGGCTAAGACTCAATACCTTATAAAAAATATACTTGTTCTGAGTCCTCATACCCGGGTAGAAATCACGCCGCTCGAGCTCGGCGCGGAACCCGTATCCCAGCTAGAAATACGCCACTCCGCCCCAGCTTGGGATAAACTCCACGCGCGTCACATGTACCCGAGGTTGAGCCGCGTCACGCGCTCACAGCCCAACGTTAGACTATTACGCGAAACGCTTCGCTGGGGTTTAGTTGAATGGCCACTGCTCAACCTCAGGTTCATCTCCAATTACTCAATCCCAGTATACTTAACCTCAATCATGATTCGACAGGTCCGATGGCATCGTGATTTGAGTGAAAAAACAATCCAATAAATGTGAAGATGGCATGCTTTTTCAGATGAACAATCACAAACTCATCAGAAATAACGTGATATTAACTAATCGAATGGGATTAATCTGAAAATACAAGGTAGAACAATTCACTGAAACGTAGTCAAAACTTTATTTTTAATTTAACCTTTATTATTAAATATCAACGCTACAGGAGAGGATATTCTTCATTTTTCGATAGGCCTACGAGTTCTAAGAATATTCTACGATTTATTAGGGTAATGTTGATGACAGGTATGCCAAAATAACACGCATGAAAAAATTCAACAGAAAAACCTAGCGCTTTCTATTAAATTTCTATTGGAATTCTATGAGAATTCTCTGGAAGTTCTATTAGAATTCTATTCGTTTCTTGCGCCGATTCTATAGGAGATTATACAAATTCATAGTCTTTTTGTTAAGGTAAAATTTGGTGCAAGAAAGTAAATAGGTTTCTATGTTCCTATACATTTTCTTAGGCGTACGATTTCTAAGTTTTTTCCGCTCGGTTCTTCTTTTCTTTTAATCAAATGCAGGAACAAAACTTGGAAAATTCATGCCCAGTAGTTTCTGTGGAAGAAATCCTAACAGAATAAATTATCTAGAAAAATCAATGGATTTTTTTCTACAAACAAATATCTATTAAAAATGCAGGGGAAATTCTGCATAATTTTCAATGGAATTGAGGCAAAAAAAATAGAATTTTTCAATAGAACTGCAATCAAACTTAAATAGAATTCTCATAGAGCTCCAATAGAAATTCAATAGGAATTCTTAGAGAAAGTGCCAGGTTTTGTATTCGATGATAGAGGGAAAAACCAGTAAATTTCAAATTTTATAGAAAGTTCAGTGGAATTCCATTTTTTTTATAGTAAGAAGACAAGGATTTTCCAAAGTATTCAAATTTTAAATCGATATTCTAAAAATGCATAAATATCATTCTATTCCACCCTCCACTGGAAACGACACGATTCAATCGGAGCTGAGTTCTAAGCGTTCAGCCACAGCTCAAACTCAAGTGCCGGGTTATGCCGTCTGATGAGCGTTCGACTGTGAGCCGGTATGGAGGGGCGTGTCGCGGCGTGAACTCGGGTCAAGCGGCAAGCCGAGGCTGAGCTCGCGCTCACCCGAGTTACGGCTGAATTCCCGGTTGAATTTCTACCCGGGTACGTATTTGAGAGTTTTCTTCCGACCACTCCCTCAGGGCGTGGGTTCGAGCCTTATAAACGGCACCGTCACGATTCGTCACACGCTACCCAGGAGGGAAGGATGACCAAACCAGATCTCCAGCCACAGGTCAGCAATATCAAGGCATACCCGGATAATGACAGTCAAAGGAGGGGGGTGTAACGAACATGTGGGGATGTTCGTTAGAAACATCACCAAGGCCTGACAACAACAACGTTCGCTACAGTAAAATCTATCCGTCAGTAAGGATTAGGGAGACAGAGAGATTTTTGTTTATCCCACTTCGGGGAAGGTCGTGAGCTAATAGAATTTTCCCACTCCGGTGGAGGTTTTGAGCAGTTAGGATTTCCCCACCCTGGTGGAGGATTCGAGTTGGAGCTTTTTCCCTTCGAATGGAGATTTTAAGGCTAGGGTTTCCCCACTTCGGTGGACATTTAAAAGATATTGAGGATCGATGGTTGATTTTTGAGGGCCTGCGAAATGATCGCGAAGAAGGGCCATATTTAGAGTCATCCGGTCTTTTCGAGGGGTCAACCCTTTTATAACTCTTGCGGGAAATCAATTAGGATTAAATGGTTAAGTTTTCGTTTTTAGCGGAAGGTCGTGTGGAGCACGCGCAATCCTTGCCTCCAGCGAATTGTCGGATTGCATTTCGTTCGTTAGAGAATTTAGAAACAAATTATAAGAAGTAGTCTTTTAACCCCATAAATCCCGGAGAATAGATCCGCGAAACGCGTCTAAAATCACAGAAAGTCGAGAGAGCATCCATCCACTCTCAGAGAATCATAGAGTTATTGAATTTAATAATTTGTTGAGTATTACAGTGATGAAAGAGTTTTTAAATTTATTAATGGAGTTGTAGTAGGAGAACTGAGCATTACGCCTTTGCTTTCTCCGAATTTATTCGGCGGATCCCTCAGGTTTCACGCCTTTGATGGACAAAAATCTCCACCAATCAGAGCTCGCTCCGATTGGTTGGAATTCGCGCTCGGGCCTGTGCTCGCAACACTGACCCAGTACACTCAGTTCCGCGTTGACCACCAATAAAATCAGTCGCGTGTGAAAACCTTTTTACGGGTAACTTGTGCTTCACAGATTAGTTCTGTCTGAGTGATTATTTCTGTGCCCTTGCATTAATTTTTGGATTACCATGGTCAGCAAGGGATCCAGAAAGAGGAGGAGAACCCCAAAGGTGAGTTTTTACGGAGATTTTTATTGTTTTCCGCGCCATTAAGTAATGGCGTCGGTTTTCCCACCTCTCGGTGATGTCTCGCGTGTGGGCTTTGGCTCTCACGTGGAGAATTTCTCCCCATTACTCCGTAATCATGGACGTAGAATTTTGTTTGGATTTGAGATGTCAACGTCCCCGGAATCATTATTCTGTGGTGAGAGTAATTGCTATAGGGTAAAATAGTATTTTTCGTTTGTTTTTTTTTTGCATTGGAAGATCTCCGTTGAGTGGCTCAAGCATTTTCCATGAATGCGTTCCCCCTTACGGCACCCCGCTAACATCTATCCGTGCCTACAAGCTACGGCTCTCGCTTCACGCGAGTAACCTCTCGTTGAGAATCCCCTCCGGTTGTTAATCAACCTGGAGTGGCTCTCAACGATGCAAAATTGATAATTTAGGTATCGTTGGCGTCTCCAGACTCTCTTGAAGAACATTTTTGCTCTGAGGTTTTTCGGATTTCACGCTACCGATTTTCCGCTGCGGCGAGTTTAGCTTTAGTGAATTTTTATTTTCCCACCATACATTATACATATACTGGTGGGTTTATTTCCTCTCTCACTCTCACAGGGGATTCGCATGCATTTCCACTGATTACATTCTTTAGTGGAGCTGCTGGCATCCATCACCTTAGCAGCGTGTTGATTGCTTTTGATGAGTTGGTGAGTTGTCTTATCGGTTGATCCTTTCTGCGTTGGGGGTGGCTTGACCTGTTTGAATGTCTCGATTTCCATCGCCTCGAGAGCATCTGCACGTGATTTGATCCATTCAGCGAGGAATTTGTACTCTGGATACTCAGTGAGATATCCGATTTAGTTTTTCCAGTGTTCACGTGTCTGCTTATCAAGTCTTCGGACCACGTTGTGAATAATCAAGGGACCCCATTGATCGTTAGGAATTCCGAGTGATTTCAGTGCTTCCGTGGCTTGAGTTGTGTCACTGATCAATTTGTGTAACTCAGCTGCCTTCCTCTCCTTGACTGGAGGCGGATCTCGGAGTTTGTTGAGTTGAGCTGTGATTAACAATCTCTTGATATCATACCTGCTTTTGAGGATGCTCCATGCTATATCAAAAGCGTTGTCATCGATGTCGATATTTGAGATGAGTTTAGCTGGTTCTCCTCTGAGTGCACCCTTCAAGTGCTGCATCTTCCTGACATTATCGAGCTTCTCTTTCTTCCTGATAATTGAAGGGAAGGTGCTTGCCCATTCAGGATAATCCTGCCTCTTCCCGTCAAAGGGTTTGATGGGGATCTCCGGCAGTCTATCCCAAAAAGCCATATCTTGTGAATTGTGCGCTGTTGATTCTCGTTTAGATGCTTCTGCCTGTGCTTTTGCTTCGATGATTTTTAGTTCTTCTATCCGTTCTGAGAGAGTTCGAATAGAATAGAATAGAATATGCGCGGCTGGTCACTTAAAGCGCCCAGAGTCACCTAAATCATACGATCTTTTGTAACATCCGCCTTATTTTCGGTCAGTCACACAGCCCCAGCCCTGTGTTTCTCACTAGGCTAATAAGGCTGGTGACAGCCGCTTGTTGTAAGTCCTCTGGTTCCAGGAAAGCCTGGCCCCATTTTATAGCGACGGAGTGCTAATAGGGGGCATTCACATAAAATGTGGATGACGCCCTCCTTATCGCCTCCGCACAGTCTGCAGTCTTCTTGTTCTGCAAGTTTCATCTTGAACAGATGAGCTCTGAGAGCTGTATGACCCGTGAGGAGCCCTACTGCGATCCTCAGATCCCCTCTGTGCAGCTCCAGAAGCTTTCTGGTTCTAACTCTTAGTTGCCCCCTCATAAGCAGTTTCGCTTGTCTGCAGGTCGCAACTTTCTCCCAACGTCTGACATGATCTCCCTGGAAATGTTCTTTAATAAGAGTTTTTCCCACTGCGAAGGGCATGCCAAGCAGGCCGTGTGAGGGCACCCTTTCTGTACCCTCCTTGGCCAGCTTATCTGCCTCTTCATTACCCAGAATCCCATGGTGGCCTGGTACTCAGGTTACGGTGACCTGGTTGTTTTTACCCAGTGTGTCCAATGCTTCTGAGAAAGTTGCTTTGGTCGTGTTGTATTGTTCCAGCATCCCATCATACAGATCATTTTTGAAATAATCATCCTCTTGCATCTTCTCATCATTCAGCAATAACAGTTATTGATGATAGTTTGTGAGGTGATTGTACTGTTCGGCGATTGTTTGTAATTTTATCTTCAACTGTGATAATGTCGCCTTTTCGAATTCCGGTGATTCGACAAAATTCTGGACTCTGGTGATGAATTGACTCTGAGTAAACTGTACATTTATATGGGGATCCATAGCGTAGGGATCACTATCCTCTTCTTGACTTGATTCTGGGGTCTCGATTCGTTCTTTATTTTTTACTGTGGCTGTTGTGTTCACAGCCTCTGATGATTCGGTCTCTAAAACTGTATCGTCGATGATGATGAGCGGATTCGTGGTTTCTGTTGGTCCGCTCGATTGATTGAAGTCACGTTGGTGACTTCTCTTGATAGCGATTGAGAGTGTTATCCTGATTACCTGTTGTGGGCTGATTTCACAATCCCTCGGTCTTTTCCTCATTTGTAAAGTCTCTTCTTCAGAAATTTTCTTATTGTTCACTAAAATATCAGCATCCTTGAGTTTGGCATCAAAGCCCAGTTTCTTCAGGCTCTGGACAATGGAGAAATGCTCTCTACGTGCTGCTAGAGTAGATTGATCATTATCTCTTGAAATCGAGATCTTAATACCCTTGATATTGGATGAATTGTTGAGGATTCTCGTTTTGGTGTTAAAAGGAGTTAGCGATAGAGCAATGGGAGCAGGCTTGTACCCTCGACCAGCCCCGAGTTTCTTCACGTAGTTGATTTCCTGGTATTGGAGTGAAATTTTCTATTTTTCTTCTAAAAATTTGAGCAAAGTGTCAAGTAAGCCAGAAGAATCCTGGGGGGTTGCTAGATCATGGATGATGATATTGTTCTGTCGTCTTTGATCCTCAATCATTTTCGCTTGGACATCTACAGATTTCGGAGTTTGAGATTTTCTTCTTTTAGGGCCTGAATATTCTCAGAATTGTCCTGTACCTGTATCTTCAGTGGGTCAATTGCCTCTTTTACTGATATTGTAACAGCCTCTTTTATCTTGGGATCTAACATGGCAAGAAATTGACCGACTGTTAACTCACTTATAGGCTTTTCCATATCTGACATGTTGCCTTTTTGTGCACACAGATGGAGCCAGTCATATTAGTCCTATGGAAACTTTTGAGCGTTTCCTAATAAGTTTGAACTCAGGGTTAATATCAAACTAATATTTATTAGAGAATTTCACATTTAATGCAATAAACTTTGAATGACACAAGAGAGATATTTGGCTATAGCTGTGGCGCGTGTAGAGACTTGTGGTAATACTGAGTTTTCAGTCGGCGACAACTCAGTCGTTGTCGCGGCGAGAAATGAGTTCCTGTTTGCGCCGGTGGTGCTGTCTTGGCTCGGTCGGTAAAGCGGTCGGCGGGTTCGCTGCTGGTGACGTCGGAGACGCCACATCTACTCCCCCCCCCCAGTGTCCTTGCCCGAAGGGGAAGGGAACGATACTTTTTTCTTAGCGAAATACGTTCTCAGCGGCCGATCCATTGAGGTAGAAGGTGCTGGGTCAGGTACACTCTCTGGCGATGCTGGTTTACCAGTGGGTTGACTCTTTCGATCCTGTTCCTCTGTTGCTGTTTCAGGCACTTTGGCGATAAAGGCTGGTTTGAGGCGATCCATAGAGATATTCTTTTCAATACCGTCAACGTCGATTATGAAATTCCAGTCATCCACACGCTTCACAACTCGGTGGGATCCGCAGTAGGATGGGTCCAGGGGCTTCCTGACATCGTCGATCCGCACAAAGACGTGTGAACAGGTGTAGAGATCTTCCAGGATGAAACATCTGCTCTTTGTGTGGTGAGCCGTGGGGGTCGGGCGCACTTTGCGTATGTGCTCCCTGAACTTCTCTAGGAAGAAGTTTGGCTCTGCGGGCATGTCTGCGGTGACGAAGAATTCGCCTGCAATTCTAAGCTCGGTGCCATACAGGAGTTGGGCTGGTGAGGCATTAAGGTCCTCCTTAATGCAGGTCCGTAGGCCGAGCATGACTGTCGGTAGCAGTTCAGGCCAGGGTGTAGGGGCGTTGCACATGAATGCAGCCTTGACAGTTCGATGCCATCTCTCTAGTATCCCATTGGATTGAGGGTGATAAGGTGAGGTGTGGATCTTATTGGCTCCTATCATCCGGGCAAGGGCAGTGAACAGCCTGGACTCGAATTGACTTCCTTGGTCCGTGGCGATGGTCAGTGGAGTGCCGAACTGTGTGATCCAGTGTCCATAGAAGGCTGTGGCGATGGTGTCAGCCTCGATATTGGAGAGTGAAACTGCGATGGGCCATCTGGTGAACCTGTCGATGATGGTGAGACAGTAGCATAGTCCGTTCACTCGAGGAAGCTCAATTATATCCAGGTGGACGTGGTCGAAACGATTGTCGGGCACGTCGATATGGATTGGATCTAGTCGCTTGTGTCTCTGAACCTTGGAGCGTTGGCAGGGGAGGCACTCGCGAGCCCAGCGATGGCGTCGCGTTTAATGCCGGGCCAGACAAATTTCTTCTTCAGTTGTCGCGCTGTCACTCGTCCGGAGGGGTGTGATAGGTTGTGCACAATCTCGAAGGCGCGTTGACGAAGAGCCTCTGGTATGAAGGGACGAAGTCCACTAGTTCAAATATCGCAGTAAAACTCGTAGCTCTCAACCATCAGAAGTTGGAGTTTGAGCGAGTTACTGGCGTTATTGATGAGTCGTGTGAGTTCCTGGTCCTCTTGTTGAGCCTCGTAGATAGTGTCAGCGCCGAGACCTTTGGGCATGTCAATTGTGTTGACACGGGACAAGGCGTCAGCGACAATGTTGTCTTCGCCTTTCACGTGAACGATGTTCGTAGTGAATTGCGAAATGAAGTTTAGCTGATTGACCTGCCTGGGTGATGCCTTCTCAGGTCGCTAGTGAAAAGCGAAGACGAGGGGCTTGTGGTCTGTTTTGAGCATGAACTCGCGACCCTCGACTATATGTTTGAAGTACTTGATAGCTGAGAAGATGGCGAGTAGCTCACGATCGTAGGTGCTACACCGTCGCTCGGTGAGGCTCAATCGCCTGGAGAAAAAACTTAGTGATTGTCAGGTGTTGTCGACGAACTGTTCCAGGACAACACCGATGGCTGAATCAGATGCGTCTGTTGAGAGGGACAGAGGAGCTGTGGGAACCAGGAATGACGCTCTGGTAGCCTCTGTCACGCTCTGCTTACATTTCTCCAAGGCTGCTTCAGATCCAGAGGTCCATGGTATTTTGCGTTCGTCCTTTCTCTTGGCCTATTTTAGGTACTCGTTCAGAGGGGCCTGAACGGATGCAACATGGGGAATGCAGCGGCGATAATAATTTACCATGCCAAGGAATCTGCGAAGGTCTTCAATGGTTTGCGGCTTGGGGTAGGTCAGGATTGCATCTACCTTGCTGGCTGGAGGGCGGTAGCCATGTTTGTTAATGATGTATCCCAGGTACTGGACCTCTCGAGCGAATTGACACTTGCTAGGGTCGATAGTTATGTGATTATCAAGGAGCAGACATTGTAGATCGACGTCTCGAGTAGGTGGCCAGCTACGCTGAGGTTGGTGGTTTTATCGAGTAGGCAACGGCTTTGAAGGTCAATGAGTAGACCACAATAGGCGAGGAAATCAGCACCAATGATGGCTGTCTTCACATCGGCGATGATAAATGGCCATCTGAGGGCAGGATGGAGACCGAGGTTGAGGTTAAGCACTCGCTGTCCATACGTGTGAATGGTGGTACCGTTGGCTGCGTACAACTGGAACTCTGCAGTCTTCTCGTCGTGGTGTTGAGTTTCTCGTGGCATTATGGATATAACTGAACCAGAATCCACAAGAAATTTGGTGTTGGTGATAAAGTCGGTGAAGAATAGGCGGTGTTCTTTGATGTCAGGTGTATTATTATTGAAATCGCTGTCGCCTACCGCCATAACTGACGACAGCGGTTTTAGTTTCTCCGGGGGGTTGGTTGAGCGATGGTTGAAGGCACGAAATTAATTAGTTCGTAGCAGTTACGTGCTTGATCTCCAAATCTCGCGTGATATGAACACATGCCTCCTGGAGCTGGTGAAGATGTGCGTGAAACAGGGGCATGCTGAGACCTGGACCTTCCTCTGGGTGCTGAGTGGTGCAGTCGCTCGATGGACTTGCCCATATTCTGATTCAGG